TCTATAGTTAGTAAAGGTTAACGTTTACTTTATTATATATATATATATATATATATATATGGGGGGAATGATTTAATAATGATTGTATGGTAATATAATGCAATCACACCTCTAAAAAACTATGTTTTTAGCATTTGTTTGACCCCAAAAATTGCACACCTCTCTTCATCCCAATAGTCAATTTCTAAAAAGAATAAAATTCAATTTGTGGTTAAAAAAATAGTATCTATATATATATATATATATATATATAAGTCTGACGGAGAAGAGTGATTGTGACCTCTTTGTATCGTTATAAAATGACGTCTAATCTTGTGCTGGAAGAAATGCTATTTAAACTGTTGTAACTCATGAATGTATTGTTGTTATGGAGCGCAAGTGTGTTTCATTCTTTGCATCGTTCTTTTCTTGATTTATGTCCTTTAGGTTGAACCGCATATGCAGGTTGCTCTAATTGTCCAACTCCACTTATCAAGGAAAAAAAAACAAAAAAACAAAAAACAGATAGTGATGGTATAAAAAAAGGCAAGACCATGTGATGAACAAAAGACAGTTCAAACAAATCCCTTATTTATTATGCTGAGCCATCATGGTGGTTCAGCTTACTTAAAAAGCCCACAACTAGTGGATATCACAGTTGAATATACCCATTCTCTATCATCCATTTTAGACTCCAGTGCCCATTCACATTCTTGTAAGTCCAATAAGCCCATCCAAACGAGGCGCGGCCATAAACATCCAATTGGGCCTTTGCAAATCTTGTATAATCTTCCTTTGATGCTCCTTGAAATGCCCATTCAGCAACCCATTCCCCTATAGATACAGTTCCCCACGAAAAGGAACACACATAATCAGTTTTTTCTTTCTTTTATACCATGGTCTTAGTAAAGAGTAACAATGTCTTCTAAATAAAATTTTTACCCACAAAGGTGAGTGGACCATTAGCTGTAGTTATGCTGCTGACCTGCTGAGCCCTGTCATTGTATATGAAGTCTATGTTTTGCTGCACTGTCATAGAATTAAACATACTGGAATAGAGATTGTAGTAATGCACATCTATGACTACATTTGTTAGGCCATTGGTAAGTGGGAAGAGCTCCTTGGGATTGGCCGGACCCAGCCGGTTTGACATTATAACATAAGCTGTGGATGTGTATTTCCTTACTGTATCATAACCGGCTTTGTAATATTTGGTTAGAGAATCGAGGAACACTCCTGGTGCAAGAGGTTCATTTATTAGCTCCACTGCAAGAAGACTACTCCTCTTGGCATATCTGAAATAGGAAAAAGGAACTTGCTCTTAGTAGAGAGGGTTAATATTATGGAATGTTTGGTTAATCATGTCAAGAGCAAATATTAAAGAACCCCTAATGTTCTAGTTAAACATCTAAAGTAGCCAGGTGATCCTGCTACATATTATCACAGATTGGTGCTTACGCACTGGGGCAATGTGCTAGGGTGATCTTCAACACACAAATAATGTTGTTTGATAAGTGTGACTTAAGTGATTATGAGCTGCATTTCAAATATGTGCTGTTTTGTCTTTCTTTTGTCAAGTGCACCTCCAATGACTATAGGATGCAGGACCTACACGTATGAATGTAATTTCGTACCTTGAAGTAAGGAAATCTATAATTGAAACGGTCTGGTCTATATTCCTTTGTGTCTTTCCCCAGTTCTGGCTGCCATCTTTTGTGCCACTATGTTCATTACCATTCTGTGAATCAGGAGCCGCATGGAGAGTGACAATTATCTTGAGACCATATTTCCTTCAAATACAAAACACACCATGTTACAATTTTCAATGCCTTGTGGAGAGAGAGAGAGGGAGACTGTCTATGTGATTGATTGCTGATAGATTTATGCTTACTCTGCCCAAGTGAAAGCGTTGTCCAAAGCGTTTAGCGAGCCACCAACATAGGGATCTGGGGGTGTAGGGTCACTTGCAATCCACCAACCCACAGGTATTCTCATAGAGTTTATCCCATTATTAGACATGAACCTGAAGTCGTCTTCCACAATGTAACTGTTCCAGTGATCCTAAAAAATCAAGAAACAGAGCAGGGTTATTCACATGCTTCGATAAGTAATCATAAGCTAGTTTGCGTATATTTACATCATGTGGTGCTTACATTCATAATTTGGTGAGCCTTATCAGGTCCGTAACCATTTGTTAACTGGTATTCTCCTTGTAGTGTGCGAATGATCGTGGTCACAAACACGGCTGGACTATTATCTCCCCAGCCTAGGTCACCTTGGAAATCAGCAGTCACACGGTTTCCTGTCTCCTACTATTTTGGATAAGAACAATTAAGCCCATTATTAGAATTGCCTTACGTTTCTGTTTGCTAAAAGGTGGTTAAGAGTTGATGATAACTAGATAAAAAGTTTCCTTTGAGATATGGATTTGAATTTATATGCCTGAGAAATTAGTGTAAAAGACCTGCAAAAACATCCCATTTGATGCCTTGATCTGAACTCGTTTGTTATCTCCTGGATTCCGGATGATCTCAAAAGTTTCAGTAGTCCCGGGATCATTAGCTATTGATACCACATCTTTTCCTGATCCCTGCCCTATAAACTGTCCATTGAACACCCGAAACTGATATTTGACATCCGTAGTCCTTTGCAACTGCAGTAGTATTTGAATCGTTAGCTCAATATCTTGCGCTTTTCTTTAGGTATACTTCTCAAAAATGTCGACTTAGTGGAAATTTATAGAAAGAATATTATTAAATGATTGGAACACCCTTCAAAGTTCATACTTGCTATAAGTAATGGGAAATCAAGCATGATGCATGTTCATTTCCTAAGCAACTCACCGTGAACGTTTCCCATCCTGATGCACTTGTCCTGTTTGCGACAATAATTGAACCCCCACCATTTTCAGATGACAGATAGTTTCCCAGCTTTACTGACTTGAACTGAACTTGGGTTCCATACTAACAAGTAGAAAAATTAAGTATTAGTTGTAAGTGAGCAGAATGCATATAACTAGACATTTGCTCTAGGAGAGAGAGAGAGAGAGAGCATGAGGGGTCACTCGAACCAGCAAATCTTTGTTGGGTATCCCATCGAAAAGAGATGGTTTGATCCATCCTTCTATAACCAACCACCCTCCCAAATTCACAGCCTTGAATCTGGGGTTGGGTGCCTGTGCAACAGTATAAACTGAGAGAAGGCATAAGGTGAGGCCAAAGCATGTACTTGACAACTTTGATAATTCCATCTTTGTTTGGATGAAATATTCTTGCATTTGCCAACAATTTATAGGCCATGTTCCAAAATAATGGATATATTGAATTGCAAAATTATCACGTACTTTCCCCTTATAATTCAGGCTTAAATCTGATCGGTAGCACTTGATTTACCAAAAAAGATAATGCTATTTCTAAGAAACCATAGAAACAGTTCGACTGTGTTGTGGACTTTATTTGAGACTGATAGGAAATGTATCATGTGTTGTCATATTCAAAGTTAAAGAGGGGATTGCATTTGCAATGGACTCCTCTATAATAAAAGATCAGATGAATCAAAGGTATTGATTTAGCATTCAATTGCAAATAAGTAGTTATTGAAGGTTATTGTGAAAGTGACTCCCTGTTTGAATCAGTATCATCAGAGTTTGTCCTATTTGTGCAGATTTTATTGCGTCATTAAATAAAACTTTTGACTCGATCTTGCATCATTGCGTCATTAAATAAAACTTTTGACTCCATTTTGCATCTTTAGAATAATGGGAATTTAGTGCACCATTTAAAGCTGATGAACTATGCGTCATGGCATGGCAGGCAAAAGTAGCTGAGCACATATAGTGTACCCCTGCAGGAGAACACTGTACACTTATTCCCGAATCCAGTAACCCACATATGAATATGCTAAACGAAAAAGTGGATCTAGCTGTCAAAAAATTGGATGTTTTCGATTCAATCTTAGGATGCTATTTTCTTTAGGTACATAGAGAGTGTATGAATTCTTTATTTTATTTATTTTTAGGTGGTTCGGGGGAGGGGAGTTGGGTTGTTTTTCTTTTGTTAAAAAATGAGGGGGTTTGGGTTGTTCGCAAGGTAGAGGTGGTTACATTCTCAAAATTTGGGGTCCTAAGCCAGGTCTTTACCCAAAGGAGTGAACCCACAAGGTGTTCCCTAGGGAGCATAATCTTTTGGCTTTAGTTCTTAAGCCTCTAAATAGAAGTCAGGTAAAAGCCTATGAGCTCTTGATTGAACAATCTCATTATGTATTATGTAGGAAGGGCTATGGAGGACATAATCTTTTGACTTACTTTTTAAGCATCTAAGTGGAAGTAAAGTCAATGCGCTGTAATTGAACATCTCTTTGCGTGTAGCAAGGACTGGCCAGAAACTAACGTCTAAGAACATGGGTTTTTGCGCGTAGGATGGGCTCTTCAATGAACATCCCCTCATGTATTTCCTCTTGTATGAGAATGAGAGTCTTATTTCAGCTTTGGTACCAGTACTCCTATTTGCGGTTTTTAGAGAAAGTTTTCTATGCTTTTTGCGGTTTTTAGAGAAAGTTTTCTATGCTTTTTTTACAGCATAGAAGTTCTATCCTCTCCTTACCATCCAGCCGTTCAATTTTGATCGAGAGAGTCACTCATCGTTTGATCTTGGATTTGATGTCTCAAAATATTTTATTTTTAATTTTTTTATACAAATTGTATGAATATAAAATTTGTTATGTGCCATCTTTTCATTGGGACGCACCTATAAAAAATATTAAAAATAATTTTTCAATAAAATATAATGACCAAAATACCCCTTGAAATTTTTCACATAAAATTTAGTTATTTTATTTTATTGAAAATATTTTTTTTTATATATATTTTGCTAATACGAGTTTAATAGAGGAATGAACGTTCAAAATTTGGTATCAAAATAGTTTGTAGAAAAAATTAAAAACAAAATAATGTAGAGATCGGGGTAATCTTAGCTCTCCATTGACCGTTGGATAAGGGGAGGATAGAGGGATCGGGATAATCTTAGCTCTCCATTGACCGTTGGATAAGGGGAGGATAGAACTCCTATGCTATTGCAGAAGCATATAAAGCTTGCCCTGGTTTTTAATATAGATCGAAAATGGAGCACTTTTGGATTAATTGTTTTAAGCTCTATTGTATAGTCCACTTGAGTTCATTATTGCGCTCTCTCTCTTGCATTCGTCTCTTTCTCTCTCCCTCTTTCTCTTGCATTCGTCTCTTTCTCTCTCCTCTCTCTTGCATTCATCTCGGTGAATTCTAATAGCAATGAGATTTGAGGGCACAGATAAAATGAAATTCAGACTTATCACACGCTTTGTTGCTTCACCATAAAATACGTCTTCATGAGTAACATATCATGTCAAATTTTGGGTGTTGTTAGAAATGACATTGCAAACTCGGTAATTTTGAAATGTCGCCTCACTTGGACAAACACTAGAAAAAAGGATTTGATAATCACAATATTAGGACTAGTTCATTTTGTCAAAAAATAGTAATCCATAAAAAATTTTAAATTTCCCGGGAAAACATCTTTCAAACAATCCAAGTAGTGAATTTGAATCTTCTTGGTCTCTAGACCTTTTACTAGATGCTATCCAAACAGCACACACCTATATTCCAAAAAATGCTAATTCTAATAAATACCAATTACAGGATACACATTTCTATAGGAGTCACAAATCAGGAGAACAAAACGGACCCTTAGGAAAAACCAGGTCTTTTTTCTCTGTTGTGTATCTGACAAGTTTTGAAGGTGCAAATACAACACACACTCTCTCTCTCCGTACGCACTCGTCTAGTGGGTTAGGTTTCCTTTTTTTTTTAATGGGAAGAGATGATTATAGAAATTTAAGTTGATATCCCTGGAGAAGCCTGGTGAATTTGAGCTCAGAGATTAGAGGTGAAAATCCAAGAAGCACAGGGCCAAAGGATAATGAGTAAATGGGGAGACTGGTAAGAATAGAAGGATGCCATTTAGTGATTGATAAAATGTTTAAATGGGCTCAAGTAATCCTAGAGGAAATGGTATCATTTGTATTTGGTTATGCAAGTGTTGCTTATGGGATTTGTGGGGGAAGTATGCCATTTAGCTGTATAGGATTTATTAGTTTTTGCTCTCTTCTTTTATAATGTTGGGAACTTGTCTTTTCTTTCATTTCTATTTTCTTCATTTATTGGGGGTCAGTACATGATCTCAAAGAAAAATTGTAAGTATGCCTGAGACTCACTGAGACCTCCCCACTGAACAGGGGCATCCTTTATTTATCAATGAATAATAAAAAAAAAGTGTGACAAATGATAATCTGAATGCGCTACAGTAATAGTATGACAGATACAATATAGCTTGAAATTGAAGCACTAATTGGTAGAAGTAAAACTACAATTGGATATACTTGTTCTGTATCATCCACTGTAGGCTCCAATGATTGTTCACATTCTTTAGTGTCCAATAAGCCCATCCAAATGAGGCTCTCCCATAGACCTCTAATTGGGCCTTTGCAAATCTTTGGTAATCAGCCTGTGATGCACCCTGAACTTGCCATTCAGCTACCCATTCTCCTGTAATGTACATCACAAGAGGAAAAAGAACATGGAGATCAATTCAAACATCATTTATATTGACCATAGTACTGTATCCTATGACTATAGCTAACTATAGTCCATTGGGTGAGAACCATCCATATCAGTGATGAGAGGGAGCAGGGCATGACCCCAATGTTGGATCCCATTGTCTTTCATCAAAGAATACTGAAATAAAATGGTCTTTTGAAAATCGTAGTCCACTGGGTTCATCACCGCCTAATGGAATGATGGATGTGGTCTGCAGCACCCACACCAATGGTGGATCCCATTCTCTTTCCATCAGCATCCATTTCACCAAACGGTCATGACCTCAACAGACCAAGTTTTTCGAGTTGTCCACTGGAGTATAGTACACATTCCCTAATAACAATTTCCTTGGAGAGGAAATACATACCCACAAAAGTGAGTGGACCATTGGCTCTAGTTATGCTATTAAGCTGCTGAGACCTGTTATTGTATACAAAGTCTATGTTTTGCTGCACTGTCATTGTGTCAAACTCACTGCTGAAGAGGTTATAGTAGTGGACATCAATTACTGTATGTCTTAGGCGATTGGCTAGTGGAAACAGCTCTGTAGAATTGGCTGGTCCTAGACGGTTCGACATAATAACATAAGCAGTGGGCGAATGCTTCCTTACTGCATCATATCCAGCTCTATAGTATTTGGTTATGGTTTCCAGAGAAACTCCTGGTGAAAGAGGTTCGTTTATGAGCTCAACTGCAGCAAGACCTTCCCTGGAGGCATATCTGCATTGACACAACAAAGAGGTAAGCCATTGTTGTTTCTCCATAGAGGATTTAATATTTTGATACTTATTATCAGAAGCGAACACTCAAAACGATATTGATATTTTTGCTGCTGATAAATTGGTTTCATGCAGTTACTGTTTGGCGAAGTATAATGTTAACCATATGATCATAGCAACAATATGGGTCGTAAGGGCTATCACCATCCCATATGTACATTGGATGATGATGTAGGGAGAGTGGGCTCCACCAATATGTATTTATGTCATTCTATTTTTTCCTCAGTCTCCATCTATCATCCTCCAACTCATTGATTGGATGATGATGAACCCAGTGATTATACTGAACATATGGGTCATAATATACATTCCTAAGAGGTTTCTTTCCATTATTTTGGTTTCTGGCTTGTAATATAGTGTTTATAGGATATAGCAGACATTTCAATGTGTTTGAACCAGTGTAGGAAAACACGACCCAGGAACGGAACCCAGCCCTGGGCATGGCTGGGTAACCCAGACCGGGTCTGTGTCTAGGTAACCTGTCTTCTGTTAGGCACGTCCCGATAAGCCAAAAAATTGTTAGCAAAAATAAGAAAAATACAAAACAATTCCCTAAAATATATGACAATTATGCTTATAGTAAAATTAAGAGAAACACATCTAAATGAGGTTTAAAAAGTAGTGAAAAAAATAGATTCTGACAAATCAATTTGTGACCAAGAGTATTGTAGAAATAATCCAAAACAGAAGGAAAACTGTAAAAATAAGTATTCATGACCAAAAACTCTTTCCAATCTTTGCCAAAATGTTAGAAAACATAAAAAAAGAAAGCACATTACAAATTAATTTCTTATTTTTTGGGTTTTTAACATTTCTTTTTGAATCTTTTTTTAAAATCCCCAGGTTGACCATCGAAACCGGCCAAAACCAAGTCACCCAGTAGGCGTTTCCAGGTAACCTGGGCAGGTCCAGCTCAACCCCTCCGGTTTTGTGAACAGTGGTTTATACCTTGATGCAAGGAACTCTATAACTGAAACAGTCAGGTCTATGTTCTCCTGGGTCTTTCCCCATTCCTGGCTGCCATCTGTAGAAGCACTATGCTCGAACCCGTTCTGTGAACCTGGAGCCGCATGAAGATCAATTATGACCTTGAGTCCATATTTCCTTCGAAACAAACAGAAACCATGTCCATTCTTCAATAAGAGAGAGACCCCAACAAAAGGTTCATAAGGGGAGTAGGGAAGTAGGAGAGAGAGAGAGAGAGTTATGCTTACTCTGCCCAAGTAAATGCTCTGTCCAAAGCTTTAAGAGAGCCCCCAACAAAAGGTGATGGGGGTGCAGGGTCACTTGCAATCCACCACCCGACCGGGATTCTCACAGAGTTAATCCCATTCTTAGACATAAATTTGAAGTCATCTTCCACAATGAAACTGTTCCAGTGATCCTGATTAGCCATTAACAAGGTGAGGTGAATCATGGGATCAATCACGGGGGTGAACACTCAATCTAAGCACATATTGCAGCGTTAAATCACTTACATTCATGACTTTTGTGGCCTTTTCGGGACCATACCCATTTGTTATTTGGTACTCTCCTTGCAGGGTGTTAACAATTGAGAGCACGAAAACAGCTGGACTATCGTCTCCCCACCCTGGATCACCTTGGAAATCGACAGTGACTCTGTCCTGTGTCTTAGCCTGCAACACAAGCAATTAAGCCCATAATGAGTTCCAGTTTTCAGAGAATCCATCGACCAAGGTACTCAGGCCCTGGTCGAGGCGAGTTACTGGAGCGACATATCTAGTTACTCAATGTAGAGAGAGACCTGTAAGAACATTCCATTTGGTCCTTTGATCTGAACTCGTTTGTTATCCTGTGTATTCCTGATAATCTCAAAAGTTTCAGTAGACCCGGGCGTATTAGCAACTGCTACAGCATCCAATCCTACTCCTTGTCCAATAAACTGGCCATTGAAAACCTTGAACTGATACTTCACATTAGTCGTCCTCCACAACTACAACAGGGTTTGGAGTATCAATTTAGTATTTAGAAGCTCTTTCACATTTACAATTACAAGAGAGGGAGAGAGAGAGAGAGGAGTTATGAATCTCTAGCATAAGGAGCAACGAAACTTCTTTGAAGAAGCATTTAGTTTGAGTATGAACTATGATTCATTATAGAAAAAGTTTACATAAGGGTGAGGCCCTTAACAATCAAAGGCACACCTCCAAAATTCATTAAAACAGGTTGTTTTGATACCAAAAAATCCTCAAATCAATCATCTCGACCTCAAGATGTATGAACATGAGAAAAATAGATTTAAAATCATGAAAACAATGTATCTTGTAATACATTTTCCAGATTATCAAGTGTTCATAGATATGCTTGATCTACACTATTTTTTAAACTTTAATTTTTATAATTAGATATGAAAATAAATTTTTATGCCATTACAAAGATTTCTAGTACTGAAATAGCATCTTTCGATACTATGAAGTAGTGTGACAGCCTCGTCCTATATGCATGGCGAGTTTATCCTGAGTATCATTATTTTGGTGAGTCAGCCGACTCTCCTATTACTGTGTTGTACTTTCTCTATCTAACGTTCATCTCTAAGATAGATGTCAAACATTCTTACTGAAAGTTAAAATGGACGGTGAAGAAATGGATTAACAAAAACACATATATATTTTCGAAAAAAGAAAATTTCAAAATTCAGATCATTGTCATGATTGAGATTATTGAACTCTAAATTTTTTTATCAAAAATACATCTTTGAGATATATTTTGTAGGAAGACCGCACAAGAATATTGTGAGTCGGCCGACTCACAAACACTTTTCCTACAGATATATTATGTCTAATTTTATTCAAAAGCGTTCAAATAGTTTCTTGGCTAATCTTCGAGGTTCGAACCCTCTCAAAAATCATCCTCTCAATTGCGAATGTTGTGGTTCTCCTTCGACCTTTCGAGTTACTTGTAAATTTTGAGTATTTCATATAATAAAACACATTTATTTTGTTTTTTTTGTTTTTATTTTTATTTTTTTAGTTCAGGCTAGACTTGAACGAGGTACTCGGACTTGCCTCTGCCAAGACCTTAGCTGAGACGAGTCCCAACATGTTATGAACTCTCAGTTCTAAGTAGAGTTTTGGACTCGACCGAGTTACTTGGCGTGGCCTTATGGGAGAGGTCGAGTATTATATACCAATTTTTCATATATATATCATGTATCCGCAACTATAATCACACAGAATCTCATTGAGTTATTATTGGTTATTATATTTATGCATGGCATGTCTATAGGGTCGAATCCCGCGAGACGTGGTCTCATTTTTTTATTATAAAATGGAAATTGGTTTGATAGGATGGTTAATTAAACAACTAAGAGGGTTTTTTTTTTTAATAAAAAAATAAGCATCATTATGGTTTAATTAAACAACTAAGAGGGGTCCCTTTTTTTTATTAAAAAAGATACGCACTATTAAGCTGAGGTTTGAACACAGGGTTCATTTAAGAGGGGTTCCATTTTTATTAAAAAATAGGCACCATTATGATTTAATTAAACAATTAAGTGGGATTCTTTTTTATTAAATAAAATAATACGCACCATTAAATTGAGGTTTGAGCAGGGGTTCAATGAAGAGGGTTCTTTTTATTTATTAAAAACATAAGCACCCATTAAGATTTAATAAAATACTTAAGAGGGATTCCTTTTTTTATTAAAAAAATACACGCCATTGTACTGAAATATTTTATTAAAAAAAATAAATTTTCTTAAGGTTCAATGGTTTAATTAAACAATTAAGAGGGTTTTTTTAAAATAAAATAAGCACAATTATGGTTTAATTAAACAATTAAGAGGCGTTTTTTTTTATTATTAAAAAAAATACGCACTGAGGTTTGAACATGGCGTTCATTTAAGTGGGGTTCTTTATTTATTAAAAAATAAGCACTATTATGATTTAATTAAACAATTAAGTGAGATTTTTTATTAAAAAATACGCACCATTAAACTGAGGTTTGAACATGGGGTTTAATTAATAGGGGTTCCTTTTTTATTAAAAAAAAAGCACCATTAAGATTTATTAAAACAATTAAGAGTGATTCTTTTTTGTTATTAAAAAAACATATGCACCATTAAACCGAGGTTGAACATTGCTTCAAAAGATAGTTACCGGAAGCGCCCAACTAGGGTCACGCTCCTGCTCCGGAACCCAGCTTTGGCGCTCCATGTCCGTGATCTCGATCGGAACTCGTCTTAAAATTTTGAGAAGCTAGCTCTTATTTATAGGATTTTCGATTTCATTTACAACGGATCCCGATCCCACTATCTCACGAAACACGTTCCTTAAAATTGTAGATCTCGTTCCCTAATAAATTTGATCCCCGCTTCGAGAAATTTAAGAGCACGATCCTACGTTCCCGGAATTCCATCCTTATAAGGTTCTACTTTTTTATACTTTTTATTTGAAATTAAGTTTATTCCAAAGACAATAAATTTTTTGCAATTTTGAATGAAATTATTTTACCAATTTATAACTTCCTAAAAGAAATTTTTTAAATAAAAGTAAATTTTAAAATAAAATAATTATATTTTAAGTCAAATTTTTATGAAGCTTTTTTAACTCAAAATAACGGTAATGCGTTGACCAAATTTCTTCGGACGTAGCCAAACCGCAGCAATACATGTCAGGTTGCATCCAGATGGTACCCAAACAACAATATTCCATTTTCAAGAAATATATTACTCTAATAATATATTACGCTAATAATTTATTTCTCAAGCAATATATTTTCAAGTACACAAACGCCAACGTGACACTCATTTGCGTATCATGTATGAGATTTTGAACAATACTAGCATTAACTATTTCAAGAATATAATTGTATAGAGCATTGAAAGCATTTATTTCATATAAGAATAATGAAATTTAATTAATCTATAGACTTCTAGATTTAGTTGTACATGGATCTAGCCCCATGGGCAATTGCGAGATTGGTTTCTAGAGTAAACCAAAACAGGATCTTGTTTATATGGGAATGAGCTGTCATGCTTAGTGGGAGCATGAATCCATAGGTAATGGAGTTAGGTTCTTGATATAAGTATCATGCTTAGTGGGAGCACGAATCCATAGGTAATGGAGTTAGCTTCTTGATACAAGTATCATGCTTAGTGAGAGCACGAATCCATAGGTAATGGAGTTAGGTTTTTGATATAAGTGGAGTTATATGATGGGAACGCAATCCAATAATGCACGGAACGCGATCGTTCTTTGAATGGAGCCCGATCCTTTCAAAATAAGAGCACGGTCATTCTTAGATAGGGGCGTAACTCAACTTCAAATAAGATCTCGATCATGTTATCGATGGGAGCGCGATCCTAATGAATATGAGAACACGATCCATTTGACACAAAACACGTACCTACTAAATAACTATTAGGTCCTGATATATTGATAACATGCTCCCAGTCCAGTAACTATGGTTCAAAATGATATGCAATGGGCAGGATTTGATACTTCAAATTAAGGCCCCATATCCTTTTACCAGGACGCTACTCAAGTATGAGTAGGTATCTTATTATTTATACCTTTTTTTCTGTTATTCTTTTTTTAAAAAACCTGACATGAACTCGGCCGAGTCAATTTTCTGAACACTGGTTCTATCTAAGTATCTGAATTCTTTGCATAATCTCACCTTGAAGGATTCCCATCCTGATGCACTGGTTCTGTTTGCTACAATTATTGAACCTCCACCACCTTCAGCACAAAGATAGGTTCCCAGCTTTACTGACTTGAACTGAACTTGTGTCCCAAACTAATTAATGTAAGAAAACCAATACTTAATTGTTAGCTAACTGCCTGTAAACAAACATTTGAGTGGAGAAAGAGAGAGACAGAGAGAGAGAGAGAGCAAATATTTGTTTTGAATATGAGTATGAGAGAGAGAGAGAGTACCAGCAAATCTTTGTTGGGTACACCATCAAAAAGAGATGGCTTGATCCATCCCTCTGTGACCAGCCATCCTCCCAAATTAACAGCCCTGAACTTAAAATTTGGTGTCTCCCTTGCACCAACATAAACCAAAAGAAGGCACAAGGTGAGACCAAAGCATCTGTTTGCAAAGTTTGAGATTGCCATTTCTTCTGAGCTGTGGTCTTCATGGACTTGGATCCATTTTATATACCATGATTTCTAATCTAGAAGCTTTTAATAGAGATCCGGCCAAAAAATTCTGCATGACTTTCGGCAAGAATACGACAGAGAGCGGTTGACGTTTGCAGGTTTTAAAACCAAATGATGGCATATAATATTGGAATATGATCTCTGACCAGGATATAGTGGACCAGAAAGTTAGCAGTTAATGGGTTCTCATCAGAACATCTTTGAATAATGTTACTTTTGAATACTTCCTTGGAGGAGACTTGGTGACTTGAAAGTCTTTGAATATTTGGACCAGTGTATGGGATTGGCTGGAAACTGGTTAAATCTCATTTAGTCGTCCAATGTATGCACATATAATGCAAAGGATTAACGTCTTATGGGCCAACCGAACTACATAGTAGGATCTGACCGGCACGAAACTGGTGAAGGTCTGGCCATTCAAAAATCGATGAAACTGCTGATCATATCGATTTTATTGGATTTTAAAATGATTAACAAAAATATGAATGACAGTTTAAAATATATAATTTATTAAAAAAAAGTTGCCTACATTGCTTAGATGGTTGTATGGGTAAAAAAAAGCTTGTCCAATCGTTAGTCAAATTTTTATTTTTACCGGTTTTTTATCAAATTCAATTTTTACTTTAAACTAGGCTGATCAAGACACCAATTGATAATTCAATCAGTTGAACCACTTGTCCAGTCTTGTCTTATAACTATGGTTCAAATTGAAGGAGAGGCCCCGTGGCCTAACACTTCTTAGAGACCCTTTTTGTGTGAGAAAATTATGGGTTTGATTGATTGAGATTTTGCTTACATGTTGAACTCATTAAGAGCTCAAAAGAAAGTTACACCTAGAAAATATGGATCTATATGAGCCCTGTGGATTGCCCTTTTCTGATAAATCTAGGCCGTCCAACCTCTAAGGTTTTGTAGACCGGTGGGAGCACAAAATCATGAGATTCACTAAGGACCTTAATAAGAAAGGGGAGTACTACAACCAACCAATGATGTATATTTTCCTAAGGTTGACCATGATTCCTGATGTTGTACTCAGAATGGACGGTGGATGCCATTGGTGCGCAGAGTACATATACCATGGATTCATGGACCATTGGTGTATGGTAAATTTTTCATCATAATAAAATAAAGTTTGACCAAGGATCATATGTTTGAATGTAGTAGTTGAAAACTCCAAATTGTATAATTGCGGCCGTGATATTGACCATAAAGGTCCATGCGTAGGTTTATTCTAGCACGAACTTTGCCTAGGTTTTTTTGTTTTTATCAATGTTATCCAAATTTTATTGATAATAGAAATTATAAAGATAAGGTTACAGCATCCGCCACCACAACAGAAGAAACAGTAGCACCAAAAATATAAAAGCAAAATAAAGTCTCATTCCAAATCCTCATCCGCAAAACACTTTTGGCAATGGGAATCTCCATAATGGTTCTAAAATCAATTTTCAACATCGATAATAAAATTTAAAACTCAAAAAATGGTACAAATCTTGTGGATCCATAAACATTTATTTTTAGAATGAAATGGACGGTCTAGATAACTTGTTACATTGTACACTATTTTTAAAGCTTGAGATCCTATTTTTTTTTCCACAACTATAATGTTCAAGCCAAGATGATCGATGTAAGGGTTTTCCAGTGGTTGAATTGTAATTTTTGATGATTTATCCTATTTTGCACTATTAAGTGGAGAGAGAGAGAGAGATTTATCTAAGAATGAGAGGGTGGGTCTAATGGGTTAATGGGCAATGTAGCAAGTGGGTAAGTGCCAAACATGGAGTTGGCGTTGAAATATTGTGTTAGTTGCCCATTATCGATACTTGTTTACTGTCTAGATAGAAAAGATTAGTTGCATTTGGTTTGGTTATGTAATCGCTTATAGTGAAATCCACACCTGCATTTCACTTCATCTGGGATTTAGGGCATTGTGTTTGAAACGTGTCTCCATATGGTTCAAATCTATATTAAAGTTAGAGTTTTTTGTCAAAACCTGATGATAAGAATCGTCAAAAATGGATTTGTCAAACATAGAATGCGATTAAGTTGTTGTATCAGCTGGCTTCCACTACTTCTTTTTCTTCTTCTTTTTTTTTTCACTACATTAACAAGGAGTTTGCGCTGGAATTGTACTTGTATTAATATCAAGGGAAATTTATCAAATTACCCATAAAGAGTTGAACTATTTTATATTTTTCTATATACAATTATTTCAAGTAATAATCATATGTCGTTTGATAGGTATTTTAAAATTAAACTAAAAACATGGGTAGAATGTCAAATTGTTTATCTATAAGGATACGTGGATAAGTTCTCCTCCCTTTTTTTATAAAAATATATGAAAGGTGCTAAGAGAGTTTGTGTGGGAATTCTTCTTCTGTATTAATGTTATGAAACTATGCAACTAATGGAGTTCGTGGGGAATCCTGGTTGTTGTATTAATTTATGTGAAAATATGTTATAGGTGAGAAGTTAGATCTTGGTAATATGTATTAGCAATAGAACATGCATGGCAAGTTTAACTCGAGGTTCTTTTTTTAAACAATAAAGTTTAACTTGCGGATCTTTTATAAATAAAAATGATTTGTTGTTAAAAAGTATTGTTAGAAATTCCTAGTAATATGTTTTGTTTACAACTCTTGTATCGATAAAAATGTCAAAATATCCATTCAACTCTTTCTTGTCTGGTTGTGGCTTGCATAGAGCCGAGGCTTTAAACCATCAAAATTTGAGCCCACCTTCAAATAATGTCAAGAAATATGATTTTAATATTGAAATTTTTTGTAATAGTCTTAAAATATATTTTCGTCTTTAATTATAAAATTTAAACTTAAAAAAATAGTGTAGATCTATGAAAACTTGATAATCTTGAAAATTAACGGTAAAAAAATGCATTACAAGATGCACTATTCCGAAAACTTGACATTCATTTTTCTCATGTCCATGCATCTTGATGTCAAGATGATCAATTTGATGATATTTGGGTATCAAAACAACCTCTTTTCATGAAATTTTTGAGGTAGGCTCAAATTTGATTGTTTAGGGCCTAGGCTTTATATAAACTTTTCCCTTCTGGCTTATACCTCTCCATTTTCTATATCTTTTTGTTTTTGTTTCATGCATAGTTGTTGTCGACTATCCTTGACCATGTAATCATCAACCAATGTCGATGATTCCACCAATTTATTTTTAATGTCAGCTTTTTGTTGAATATTCTACAAATACTTATGTGTTATTCCCAATGTTGTCAGATTCGCTTCAGAGTTTTCTTCAGTTTGGTGAGAAAAATAAAACATTTCGGTGCTTCAGCCGATTCGGGGGAAGACTTCAGACTATTTTTTTTAATTTAATATAAATAAATTAGATATTTATATCAAATAATGAAAAAAATAAAAATTAGTTTTATATAGCTATTTCTTTGCTGGCCAAAGCAAACTCGAATCATATCCAAGGCAAACCCGAAGCGGCAACACCCAACTTCACTTCTCTTCAGTTTATGTCTAAAATCCGAAGGCTTTAGCCGAAGCGAAACGAATTTAATAAAAATGGTTATTCCTACCAATATTACCTTTTTGCCTTGACCCACTTAACCTCTAACCGGTTGATTGTCGGGGTTGAGCATGACTGAATTGTGACTAACCACCGGGGTTAACCCAGCTACAGTTGGCTGCCCCAAGGGTTTGAGGGGTTTAGATGTTTGTCTTTCTCACGTTGACCGGACTTAAGCCTTACTCCCATGTCTGGGAAGATTGCACGTGGTTTAATTCCCTGACTATATAGGGTGCCCCATGTCGGACTGACTTGGTGGTACATGGTTCCTAAGCAACGGTCCTGAGGACTACTAAGTTAGAAACCTAGATTACCAGGCACCGTTCAACGCAAGTTGAGACTAGACTCACATGCATGAGTACCATGGGAAGAGCAACTGGGTGGTGTCTCTCAGGCTACTAACCTAGAGTCCTAGACCTAGATTGGGCTGAAGTCATTGGATCAGACCCACGTTAGTTTGATCCTTAGAAATGACTCTTGACAAACCTAACTAAGTAGGCTAGGCAAAATAACATTAAAAAAGGTTTGAAGTATTTGACCTAATTTCTATAGGTAGGTTACGGCTTAAGTGGGGTTTTCTAATTGAGAAAAATTGAAATGCAATTAGATTTAAATAAGTACCCACTTAAGTTTTGTCCACTTGTTAAAAGGATCAACTATGGTCTTACTATGTGTGGGTTTCTTTTGGGCAAATAATTGTAGAGGAGCGCTCACAGTCAAAGTTGTGTGATGTCCAACTGTCTTGGCTCTCAATAACTAGGTGCCCTTCTCAACGTTAACGCCGATTTCGATGGTTTTCAAAAAAAATTGAAATGGTTTATTGGGTTTCCCAATCAGATGTATGAAAGAGCTGTCGAAGAGAGCAAATGCGTGTGTGAAAAGCATGTGGCAGCACATAAAAACAATAGCGTACTCAAGATACTAATAAGGCAAGAATGGCAGAAGCAGGAAAATTTTACTTTTTATCCATTGTTATTTTAATTATTATTAATCATTTATTTTTAGAAAAAATATCTCTATACTCTTTATTTTTAGCTTTTTTATATTTCAATAGATCTAAAGATTTAAAATATATCTCCTAACCCTCTGACTAATTTTATCCACTTTTAACTATTTTTTTAGCCGTAACAAATATAAAAACAACACGTTCATTCAAAATTATTCCTCTTTACATGATATATTCTCCCCAAATTTATCTCTTAAACTCTCTCAAACCCCTTCTCTCTCTCTCTCTATTTTCCCCTACTTTCTCTCTCCAGGTCTCTCGCTCTCTCTACCCGTGTTTCCTAAAACCTCTCTCTCACCCCAACTCGTCTCCATCCCAACCAACCTCTTTCTCTCTCTCTCTCTTTTCCAACCCCTCTCTCTTTGAGTTTCCCAACCAACCTCTCTCTCCCCCGTGATTG